TATGTTGAATAATTGCATATATGAGTTGTTACCAGTAGTTGATTATCCTATTATAATGAAATTATTTTATAACTTGTAGCGTACAATGTTTTCCAATAAGATGTCTCGAGCAAAACAAATATAAAGGAGTTGACAATTGATTTGAAAGCAACAACTTTTAGCAAGATATCTCGATTTTTCGCGAATTCTTCTTGACGTCTCTATCAGACTTGATTCAAATTTCCCTCGTTTTCGTCAAATTTTTATGGTTTTGAATTGCATCATTGGTACCATTGGAAATAAGAATGTCTTCAGACTCTTCAATGCAATCGAAATCTAAGTGGATCATTAATTTTAATTTTGTTTAATTTTGCGAAACTTATGAAGTTTAGCAGACAGGTTATTTTTTCTTTTAAAAAGAACTCACAAACATTATGCTAGTAATTGATAGTAAACGTGAGATGTATAGATAAATGCAGGTTGAATAGAGATCCTTACATTCATCAACTCATACATCTACTGAAGCATTCATTTAGGCACTGTTACTATCAACTCTACCGACTAGTCATCGTCATTTCTGCAGTCGCATTTAGGAGACTATTAAACCTTTCAAAATTTTATGTATCGATTTTTAGATTTTGTGACACCTGTTATTTATCGGCTACCTTCAACTTGGGTGCGATCAACAGAAAATAAAGTAGTGTTTCAGGTTTCTAAAACAACTAAAGAATATAAATCAATCTGTGCACCTTTCGAATCAGCAATGAAAAATAAGTATAAGGAAATGATAAGAATTGAAAGAATTCAAAATGAATGATGTTACATACAATACACGTCACACAATGAAAAGTTTAACAGACGGCTTAAAAAGAATACGGAGAGACGTTTATATCATGGCTGCCCTAGAGAAACAGCAGACTTGATTATACAGAATTGTTTTAACAGAAGTTTTGCTGGAAAGAATGATAAGGATCGATTTTGTTTGTTTTCATTCATGCGATTTCATTCTTACACACTTCGCCTTTAGGTACTACATTTGGTAAAGGCGTTTATTTTTCATCAGAACCAGCTTACAGTCACCGATATGCTACTCTAAATTCGAAAAGAGAACGATGCATGTTCGTAGCACTTGTTCTGATTGGAAGAACAGCCAAGGGAGATTTTTCAATGGTGACTGTGCCTAATGGATTTGATTCGACCACAGATGGGAACCATATTTTTGTTACTTATCATGATGCACAAGCTAACAGCGAATATTTGATTACATATAAATAGTGATCACTAATTATTTTTTATATAGACATTTTCCAAAACTTTTCGAATCTTTCTTTTCATTCAAATATCTTCCAGTCAATCTGCGAGCTTAATTATGCTCTTTTGATTTCAGTAATTCATAAAATATCATTATCAAATGAATTTCTCATATCTATAATCTGATGTCAGAGAACCAACAAATTTTTAAAATATAATAAGTTATACTTGGCAGCGAGAACAGAGCACCAAGTCATTACAAACAAAACAACAAGATGAAGATAGAAATGATTTTAGTCAAATTTAACAACATCTAGATCCAATATCGAACTCTTATGAATCCAATATTTGAAATTATAATGCCGACATTCTACAGTCTCGTATATATACAACACTTCACATGTTCAATGATCAATTTGAAGAAATAGCTAATCTACCGATTTTCAGTATTTCTAGAACTTTTTTAATTCATGAAAAATACTTTTGCATCTTAGAGATTTAATAAGTACTTAGTTTTCCAAAGAATGTATTTGCAGACGTAGATATAGATGTGGAACAAGTCTAAACAAGAAAAAGCAAGACTTCAAGGGTGCATGCTTCACTTGTACTTCACTTTTTTCTTTTTGAAGTAGATGAAGTCTTGCCTTTTCCCTCTTGTCTTGATGGCATGATGAGTAAAATGATTTAGAGTGCAGAGAAAATTCTCCGACTATTTTCGCTAAGTGTTCACAATATTCCTAATCTGTCAAGCGTATGGTCATGATAGCCTCGTATGGAACTACTCTGAAGAAACGATGGAGCTTCTAACTAAGTAAGTGATGAATGAATTGTTAATGATATTTCTTGAACGGTAGTTCCTGTCTACTGCATATTTTTATTTGATAAATGATTACAAAAGCAACTTAAGAAGTAGCGCGTCAAACTAAAAAATATAGTTCATTATATGTAATGAATAAGCATGGATAATAGGAAGATGAATAAATATATAAAATATTTGTAAGCATAAATAGATGACATGCCATTATATATTGATGTAATTGATGGAGTAGATGAGACGAATGAAGTTGATAGAGTCGATGAATTAAGTGAATAATCTTCTAAGCATTCACGTTCAAGTTGGTTGTGAGACAAATCAAAATCATCAAGCTTGACATAATGATTAAATTCGAAGCAGTTAGCTAAACGTTGATCACCAAAATCCTGACATACACACATGTACATATCGTCATAAAAGCATGATAAATTTAAATGATTTTGACATGGTATATGATAATATTTAATGCGTTGAATGAGGTGTATTTGAGTTATGTTTTCATTAAATATTTCGCCTATAGATTGACAACGGTCAGATGAATTGATTTTTCGAACAATAACTGATGAATATTTTACCGTTTCATTAGCAACCAAGTAGTACTGGTTCCTTGAAAGTTCACCGATAGCAATATTAAATGGATGTGGCCAATAGCTAATAATTGAAGTACTATTCTCACATATTTTGATAGAAGTTTTATTGTGAATATGTAGAGTACGATTGAAAAAGGAAATGAAATGAAAAAATATGATGGGTTGTGACGGAAAATCAAGATTGTTCTGAAATGAAAGAATAATCTTGTTATCAGGTACGTCACATCTTGCTCCATAGAATCCTTTTCGACAAATGCACATATATGGTTGATCAAGTGCACTATGTTCATCAGAAGGTATACATACGCCTCCGTTGAAACATGAGTCGTTTTGACATACGGTTTTGGTTAAAAAACATTGAGAACCAAATTTGTTCAAAGGACATACACATATCGATCGATTGTTTGCTGCAATACCAACACATAACGAATCATATGAACATTTGCATATGTGAGGAATAGTGCAGTATCGTCCAGTCCAACCTAGTTTACATCGACAAAAACTAATATGTTTTGGATCATTTAAATATTGAATACATTCACCATGTACACATTGATTAGCACAATTTGTGATAATATTATTTGGATCTGGAATATTAATTTGAATAGCAATACGTTCGACAGGTAAGAAAGGAAATTTCAGAGGTATTAGCAAACTTCCTCGATAATATAATGTAGTCATTTCATAAATGTCAATATGTACTGAATATTGTTTTGTAAAACTTTTTGGTCGAAGAGAATAAAGTAAATTGAGATTAAATTTAGCATATCGATCTCGGATAAATAAATAAGACAGTTGTTCATATGAATGAATAATTCGTTCAATACTATCATCGATTAATGTAATGACAAGTACAAATAATGTATGTCGAGATTTTAATGGTGCATTGATTTCCATAATGAGACTAACACGTTGATTTTGATATTGACAACGATCGCCATAATAAGCTGGCGGACAAAGACATGTCAGTGTTGTTAAATTCTTGTCACTATCTAACAAAACTTGTAAAGAAAGGCCACGATGACAACGATGGTCATATTTATTGATCATTGATAAATGTGCTATCATTGAATTTGATTTGAATTTCTTTAATTCAATATCTGTTACTTTTGATTTAATTGTATTGTATAAAATTGTATTCGAATTCTTTTTAATCTTTGAATTACTTGGATCATTTCGACGAAAATCTCTCATAATTAAGTTACAAGACTGTTCGTCAACATCATTTTTACAATGAAACTTTATTAATTCATTAAGATGAATTTCTACAGGATATAATATTGGTTCATCGATACCACCATAACAATCAACATTACCATCATTCGCTTTTTCAATAGGCAAACAGATCAATTGACTTGTGTTTACTGACAAACATATATGATGATAAGGTGGACATTTGATTATAGGTTTTGGATCACAATCAACTTCATCAGCTCCATTAAGACAACTCCAAAAACCATCACATCGTGTATATGTATTATTACATGGCCATAGTTCACAATTAGTTTCATCTGTATGATATTGTCCATTAATCATAATTGGTAGAAGATCGATCGAACGATCGCAAATCTTTGAAAATGTAATTTGTCGTCTTTTTTTATTAAATTCTATATCTTCATCATCGCACATATCATATTCATCCATTTTACAATCACAAATATGATTTTCAACTTGATTTCGATGAATACATTTGTTTTCTGTTTGACATTTGAAAAACGTGTTAGTTTGATCTATCAAACATTGTTTATCGATCGTACTTTGTTCTTCATCATCTTCATAATCACAATCTCGAATATCATCACCTACATAAGAATTTGGAATACATTTCGATGAATTTCTACATTGATACATAATTGAACTGTCACAAACTAAACTATCTTGTACCATACGATTACAATGACCAAAATTGGCGTATACAAGATCGATATAAGTAGAATACGAATCTACTCCATTGAAATCAATCGACATTGAAAAATCTTGAGGGCGACGACATGTACTTCCTCTTAAGAATAATAGTGTTACATTGGAATCAAATCCTCCACATTGTTGTTCATTATAACATATATATTCAGGCGGAATTGGTTTTATGCCTGCCCAATTCATAGCGTATTTGACTGTATAAGCAAAGTAGATATGACCAAAGGCGATCGGAACTGTTGGATAAAATAAAATCCTTGGACAAAAATTTTGTATTATTTCGATACACGTTTCATTTTGACAAAAATTCAAGCATAGTGGATTGCTATCTGTTGGAATCTTAGAATGACATTGGAATGCCAAAAGACAATCATGATTTACGGCTGGATCTGATACATTGAAAAACATTGCCTGTTCGATATTTTCATTACGTTGGGATCTACATGAACTTGTAAAAGGATGGATAAATTTGTTCGTATGACGTTCACGCCATGAACAGATGATGTCTTCGTTTCCTAATGTTGGTGCGCTAGATTCATTGTAAAAAAAATTTGTAGACAAAGAGGCGAATTGATCAGATCGATCAAGACATTCGAAACTGGTACCAGTATTAACGAATTTTGGATGTATACATTGACCATTATCACATCGATATTCACCATCTTTGCATTTATTAGTTATAAGTGGCCAACAGTTTTCTTCATCAGCTCCATTAGTACAATCGAATTTTCCATCACATATTTCAGTCCAATCTATACATGTTGGAAAAGGGCCGCGATTACATTGTAATTGAGTATAACAGGTTAATGACTCTGGTGTAGAAGCGTGCTGACGATAGTAAATACGAATAAATTCATTTAATGTTATATCAGATATATTAAAATCCAGTTGATACTGACACTGTGGACCAAATGCTGGTGATGTACAATTGTAAAATATTTCCCTTCCCAACTCTGATAATACATTTCCCATTGAAAGTTGATGCGAATAAGTTTGATAACGTTCACTAGTATCTATGGTTGCTGACCATTGATATAATTGTTCACTTGTGATATTTTGTCGGCTGAGTTCAGCAAAAGTAAACAATCCATTAAAATTATTCTTTACAATATGCCATTTCGACGTCAATTCACTAATACAAAACGGTATTATATCACGAGACCATTGATCTTCGCTTAGATCAAAATACAGACAATCATGTTGTTGGTCAATATAAGCAGTATTTTCATTTATTCCATCAGTGAGATAAAGATGAATTTGAGGTGATGCGATCACCAAATTTAAGAAGAGAAAAAAAACTAGATGTTTGACAAGCACCTTTCGGCTTGTATTGCTGTTCATGCAACTTGAATTTATCTGAAATAGAAGTTCATAATCGATTATTTTTCGTCACTTTTAGATGAATGATATTAAAAAAAACAATCTATTTCACTTGAAAAATAAACACGTTTGATCTGCTTTTGTATTAATGATATAGCCAGAAAAAATCCGAGAGAAAGATGAAATAAATGAATTTTTTTCATACGGTTTAGCCTTTGTCAAAACACTATTCTTCATTTGGTTTCAATTACAACTAACGGGAATAAACAATATAACATCTGCATATATATTAATGCATGTATGAAATAATATTGTCTCAGAAAAAGAAAGAAAATATATGCAGAGAAAGAGAAGTTTTAAGAGAACAAATAAGAAGGGTGGAAAGAAAAATAATACAAAAAAAAACATGCAAAGAGAAAGATGATAACGTTATTACTGAAAAAAATAAGTAGGTAATCTCATATTTTTTTCTAAAAACTACGAGGATACGAACAAATAATGCTAAGCTGCATTATAACATTATGAAACAGTTTTTGTCGTGTTTAGTCACAGTATGTCTCTTTATTTTGTTCATTACTAATATGTCATTGAATTTTATATATTATAAACATCAATAGATATTTATGATGAATATTAGTTTTTTTTCTAATTTATATACTGGTTACATCAAACTTCAATTAAATAATTCATCCATTCAACAGAAATATAAACTATGATTAATGTAAATTTTCGACGAACAAAAAAATGCACTTATCGGAAAAAATCACTTTAACCTGAAAAGTTTTTATTTAAACTTGAAATTAAGAAGTATATTGACCATATATCAGACAGTTTATACAGAGATTATATTACTTCATCTATTAAATATTCTGTTCTCTTTTAATATTTTCTTTAAATATCTCTCTTTTAATCTTGAGTAATCAGTCTTACTGCATACAATGCAAATAATAAATCCAAATTTGATATCAACAGTAAAAAAACCAGTTAAACTAATTTGTATTCGTAATGGATTAACTACAATTTCTGATAAGTTCAGTGGCATACACCAAAGCTTAACCTGTTATAAATAATATCTATTAATTCATAGATCACTCACACAAATCATTTTCACTATAGTACTTATCAAATTTTTGTATGTGATAATCTTATCTATTTCATGAGGGTATACGTGTGGTACAGCTACACACTTTCGACCCTAACTAGGTTTTAGACACTCGTTTTATTGGAGAGGAATCTAATTGAATCACATATTTTTTGCCAGAAATGTACAAATTTGCACATAAATGAATCTAGACGAAAATATGACCTTTAGATTGTTACTACAATCCAAAATAAATACTTTACGTAGATTTGGAATTCTACAATATTCCTAACAATAACTAGTTGCATATTGTTCTGAAATGCTTGAACAAAAAGAGCAGTTCGAGATATACAAGAAGAAAAGAAAATGGTGTTTGGGGTATGAATGTTGGCATCAGTTAAGAACAGATGTATACAAAAGGTGTAAATTTAGGTAGATATTGTTGTTCTTTGTATCCGAATCTATATTCTGTTTATATGTTTATGAATGAGTTTTTGGTATTGGTCGAGGCTTTTCGATCGTACGATTTGCCTCAGGTTGCTTCGACAATAGCTCATTAAATTCAGAGCAAAATTCGATTGAATTTGGATCCGAAGTAAATGAAATTGCTTTACTACGATTAGATGTAACCACGTTGACTCTATGTCAGTATTCAATGATAATTACTTTCGCTCCACCAAAACTAACATGCGTTCGGTTGTTAATCAAAATTAAAAACCAATAATAATCAGTGAGGCACTGTATAGAAGGCTACACTATAGAGAATAATGAAGTCGAACACTTATATATATATTCCTTTTATTATCACAAGTTTGAACACAAATTAATGTTACAAACTGTTAAATAGATGAATAAATCAAAATTAGGGTGTGGGTGTGGGTGGGTGTGGGTGGGTGTGGGTGGGTGTGGGTGGGTGTGGGTGTGGGGGGGGGGTGGGTGTGGGTGGGGGGGGGGGGGGGAGGGCGTGGGGTGCGGGTACGAGAAGGAGAANAAGATTCTTTTTGCCAAAGGACATGTAAAAAAATCTCTGTTTCCCTATCAAAAATGCGCATAAATCTTTTTCCAATGGCATCGTTAGAAAAAGCGCGAAATTCTGCACAAGATAGGCTATTTTCTTTTTCTCGCAAGTCAATCTCAAAAAATTTGGAAATAGGGTCTCAAAAAGTGGGCAAAGCGATGGCTAATTCTGCTGGAAAAACGAGAGAAGTTAGAGAGATTAAAAAAGACATGTTTTCAAATTTTTTGAGATTGACTTGCGAGAAAAAGAAAATAGCCTATCTTGTGCAGAATTTCGCGCTTTTTCTAACGATGCCATTGGAAAAAGATTTATGCGCATTTTTGATAGGGAAACAGAGATTTTTTTACATGTCCTTTGGCAAAAAGAATCTTGAATGTCTTCTCACAATTGCGAAATATCGGAAAGTCTTTTTTGAAAATATATGTGGGTGATGCAGTTTTTGATGCTCTATTTAATGGTGTACTTTAAATTGAATTTCAATATATTGAAGACGCGAAAACTCATTTTTGTCGAGCTTCATAACAATAGTTTTGATATTGAACTTTTCTACCACATAACTCCCTAATTGTCACCAATCTTTCTTTCCCAACATATAGTTTAGAATCTCCTCTTTTGAGTGGATCCCGAACAAAAATTGTTTGTGTTGACAAAGTTAGTATTAATTCAATATTTTTATATTGGGGGGGGGGGGGGCCTATAATTATGAGACAGGGGTGACTCGGGGGTTTTTGGGTTTATTCATTAATGCTAATNGTTGGGTGGGGTGGTGTTGTGGGGGGGCGGGGGGGGTGGGGGGGGGGGGGGGGGGGGTGGCGGTCTTTATTTATGAGACAGGGGTGACTCGGGAGTTTTTGAGTTTATTCATTAATGCTAATTGATCGAATTCAAACGAATATAATATATGATAGACTACTACTATGTGTGTATGCATATGACATTAGTTTGGAAATGAAACCTCCTTTAGTTGGATAAATCTTTATTTTTCTCAAAACTCAAAGAGGGGGTCTATAATTTTGGGACACCCTGTAGAAACCAAAGATAAAAAATGATAAAGTAATGCATGTCTGAATTGCATTTTGAATCTGACGACCAGATCCTGCCATTAAAACCTATCATTTGCAATAATAGACACTATAGAAACCTTAACTAGAGTTTAGGTGTCCATTTTGGTCAGCTCTGTATCATTGATTCCAACATCGCCGTTCACACCTCTCACCCACATCCTCGACGATGAAAATTGCACAAAACGGTTACTACTGTAGATCAATAGATGTCAGTAAATAACGCTCAATAGGTACAAAATACTAGCAATCGTTTCATTCTTTCGGTTGCTAAAAATGAGTACATTTGTATTTGTAAAATTATAGTAGAAGCAACTTTAGAAGAAGCAAGCTAAAGAAAAAGCAATATAGTTCATTGTGTATTATGAATAGGTAAGTAAAATAGTAAGATGAATAAATATAGAAAATAATCGCAAGTGTCAATAGATGACATGCCACTATATATTGATGTACTTGATGGGGTAATTGGGATTGATGAAGTTGATAAAGTCGATGAATTAAAAGAATAATCTTCCGAACATTCACGTTCGAGTTGGTTGTAAGGCAAAGTTAAATCATCCGGCTTAATATTATGATTAAATTCGAAGCAGTTAGCTAAACGTTGATCACCAAAATCCTGGCATAAACACATGTGAGTATCATCATAAAAGCAAGATAAATTTAATGCATGATTTTGACATGGTAAATGATAATATTTAATGCGTTGAATGAGATGCATTCGAGTCATGCTTTCAGCAAATATTTCATTTATAGATCGACAACGATCAGATGGATTTAGTTTTCGAACAATAACTGATGAAGAGTCTACTTGTTCATTAGAAATCAAGTAGTACTGGAACGTCCAAAGCTCGACAAAAGTAATATGAAATGGATATGGCCAATAACTAATAATTGAACTTTGATTTTCACATATTTTTGTGGGACTTTTGTTTTGATTATATAGAGTACCATTGAAAACATAGATGAAATGAAAAAATACACGTGATTGCGAAGGCAAATTAAGATTATTGTGAAATGAAAGAATAATTTTATTATCAGGTACTTCACATCTTGCTCCATAGAATCCTTTTACACAGATGCACATATATTGTTGATGAGATACACTATGTTCATCGAAAGGTATGCATAAACCTCCATTTAAACATGAGTCGTGTTTGCATACATTTTTACTTAATAAACATTGAGAACCAAACTTGTTAACTGGACATACACATATCGATCGATTACTGGCTGTAAGTCCAGCACATAATGAATCCGATGAACAGGTACATATATGAGCAATAGTACAGTATCGTCCTGTCCAACCTGGTTTACATTGACAAAACCAAGTGTTTTTCGGATCGTTTACATATTCAATACATTCACCATGAACACATTGATGATTAGCACAAGTTTGGACAGTATTATTTGCATGTGGAATATTTAGTTGAACAGCAATACGTTCGACAGGTAAAAATGGAAATTTCAGCGGTATCAGTAGACTTCCTCGATAGTTTAACGTAGCCATTTCATAAATGTCAATATGTACTGAATATTGTTTTGCAAGAATTTTTGGTCGAGTAGAATAAAGCAAATGGGCATTGAACTTAACATATTCATCCCGCATAGGTAAATAAGACAGTTGTTCATATGAATGAATAATTCGTTCAACACTATCATCGATTAATGAAATCAAAATTACAAATATTGTTTGTCGAGATTTTAAAGGTGCATGAATTTCCATGGTGACACTAACACGTTGATTTTGATATTGACAACGATCACCATAGTAAGATGGTGGACAAAGGCATGTTTTTATTGTTAAATTTTTGTGGCTATCTAGCAAGACTTGCAAAGGAAGGCCACGATAACAACGATTCTCATATTCATTGATCATAGATAAATGTGTTACCATATCATTTGCTCTCGATTTCTTTAATTGAGCATCGGCTAGTTTTGATTTAACAATGTCATAGAAATTTGCGTTCGAAGTTTTTTTAACCATTGAATTATTTAGTTTATTTCGAAAGAAGTCGTCCATGGTTGAGTTACAAAACCGTTCGTCATCACCATTTTCACAGTGTATTATCCCATCACAAACATACTGTAGCGATAAGCATGTACCAGAGCCACCCGTTTTACAATAAAACTTTCTTGATTCTTTAAAACGATTCTCCACTGGACATAATGTTGGTTCATCGATACCACTAAAACAATCAATAATACCATCATTGGCTTTTTCAATAGGCAGACATATCAATTGATATGTATTTGCTGAAACACATATATGATGGTAAGGTGAACATTTAATTAATGGTGTCGGATCACAATCGACTTCATCAGCTCCATTAGGACAACTCCAAAATCCATCACATCGTGTATATGTATTATTACATGGCCAATATTCGCAATTGGTTTCATCTGTCTGAATTTGACCATCAATCATAATCGGTAAAAGATCAACCAAACGATCGCAAATCGTCGAAAACATAATTGTTCGTCTTTGTTGATTTAATTTTTGATCTTCATCATCACACATACCATATTCATCCACTTGACAATCACACAAGTGATTGTCAACTTGATTTCGGTGAATACATTTGTTGTCTTCTTGACATTTGAAAAACGTATTGGCTTGATCTAGCAAACAATGTTCATCGATCGTACTTTGTTCTTCATCATCTTCATAATCACAATCTCGAATACCATCACCAACATAAGAGTTTGGAATACATTTCGATGAATTTTTACATTGATACATGATGGAACTGTCACAAATTGAACTGCTATGCACCATTTGATTACAATGAGCAAGTTGTGAGTATACTAGCTGGATATAACTGGAATGCCAATCTATTTCATTGAAATAAGCCGTTATTGGAAAATCTTCCGGACGGCGACATGTCGTTCCTTTGAAGGATACTAAGGTTACGTTTGAATAAAATCCATCGCATAGTTGCTCATTATAACATATATATTCGGGTGGAATTTGTCCCATGCCTTTCCAATTCATAGCGTATTCGTTGGTATAAGCAAAGTAAACATGACCAAAGGCAATTGGAACTGTTGGATAGTAGAAGATATCTGGACAAGTATTTTTCATGATTTCGATACATTTTTCATTTTGGCAGAAATTCGAGCATACTGGATATTTATATATTGGAATCTTAGAATGACATTGGAATGCCAAAAGACAATCATGACTTATGGTTGCATCTAATCCGTCGAAAAACATTGCTTGTTTGATTCTTTCATTACGTTGATATCTACATGAACTTGTAAAAGGATGGATAAAATTGTTCATATAACGTTCACGCCATGAACAGACAACATCTTCGTTTTTTAATGTTGGTGCATGATATTCACTAGATAACCAATTCTGTGATAAAGAGGCATATTGATCAGATCGATCAAGACATTCGAAACTGTCACCAGTATTAACGAATCTTGGGTGTATACATTGACCATTATCACATCGATATTCATCATCTTTGCACTTATTACTTATAAGTGGCCAACAATCTTTTTCATCAACTCCATCAGTACAATCGACTTTTCCATCGCATATTTCGCTCCAATCGAGACATATTGGTATTGAACCACGATTACATTGTAAATGAGTATAACAGGTTAATGGCTCTGGCACATTACCGTACTGACGATAGTGACTACGAATAAATTCATTTAATGTTAAATCAGAATTATAAAGCTCCAGTTGATACTGACATTGTGGACCAAATGCTAATGATGTACAATTGTAGAATATTTCTTTTCCCATTTCTGATTGTACACTTCCAATTGAAAGTTGATCCAGATATATTTGATAATGTTCACTAATATCTATCGTTGCTGACCATTTATGCAATTGCTCACTTGTGATATTTCGTCGGCTGAGTTCAGCAAAAGTAAAAAGTGCATGGAAACTAGCCGTTACAATAGGCCATTTTGATGTCGACTCACTGATACAATAAGGTATAATTTCATGAGACGATTGATCTTCACTTAGATCAAAATAAAGACAATCATGTTGTTGGGCAATATCATTGGTATTTTCATTTATTCTATCAGTAAGATAAAGATTAATTTGAGGTGATGCAATTACCAAATGTAAGAAAAGGAAATAAATTAGATGCTTCATGAGCGACATTAAATTTAGTTTAAATATAAGTTGGTGAATCGAGTATCTTTTTTTATGTAAGATAAATTGATATGAATGTAAAAAATAGTATCGTAGAAGCGCATATATTTATATGTGAGACAATATATTGTCATAGAATAAGAAAGAGAAAGTACACAGAAAAATAATACAACCAAAATAAATATAAATATAAGGACAAATTTTTCCACAGATTGTGATGAGAAAAACAAAGAATATTAAGTGAGACTAGAACATGATGAAACCATTTTTGTGATGCCTGCTCATATAATATCTTTATTTTTCTCTCGGTTTCAGAGATGTTTTAACATTTTCGATATCATTGACGTCAATAGAAGGATTAGAAATAAATTTTGTTTCTTGACAAATTTACATAAAACTAGATATTAATTTAATAGTACATTTTTTAGAGAGTAAAATGAAAAATCAATTTAATAATTGTATTTGTTGACCACGCAAAGCATTCTTGTCACTAATTTGTTTTGTCAATTGACAAAGTATATCATTTCATCCTTTTAAATCTACTGTCTTTTTTTTAATATTTTCTTCATCTCTCAAGCTCTGGTAAATAAATAATCTTACTTAGGGTGATTGAAATACATAGTAATTATACATCAGTGATGGGATCGGTTCGCTACGCTTTCAAGTTTTCTCGAATCGATTTCATCTAAATATATACTCTAATACATTTATTAACTTGTTGACTAAGAGTGAATGAAGAAAATGTAGCACATTTTTTGTTTACTCAATGATTTAATTAATCTACAAACACTAGCAGTAGTTTTGCTCATCATTCAGTGCACAATTTTAAAGACTACAAGTTAGTATGAAGCAATCATATCTAGAAATAAACATTGATTAATTATCACTTTGTAATAATTTTTAAGTAACCAATAAATCCTCGTTTTGTTTTCAAATTCAAAATATTATCTATAACAAATAGCATTAACGTTAGGAAAAAATGATCTAATTCATATTTTAAAATATTTAATTTCACTGAGATTTTCAATCTTTTGAAGTTTAACCAGTCATAGGGCTTATTACTTTCAAAATATTAAAGATGAAATGTAGCTTAAAAATTTGGAAAAAAAACGTTGCGTTTTGAAGGGAAAGACTTCCTCTTTCAACACATATACTCCCCATCATCATTAGGATATTATTGTCAAATGCCCCACTACATTGAAATCATAAACTACAAAGCAACAGAAAAACGGCTGGAAAATATGACTTAAATGTAAATTACTTCTCGAAACGTAAGGCTATACAACAATTGCGCAAAACATCTCTCAAAGAATGACAATCTGCTATTTGAAGCAAGTTCTTCTCTGAAAAGACACGTCCAGTTTTTTCAAATATAAAATTTCGTTTGTTATTTAATATTTGAAAACTATGGGGGAACTTGAAGATAAAAACGATGCTCGTCTCTGATGAAGAGACAATTATTTTGTTTTTCATTTCATAGTCATTGGTTAAAGTAGTTATTTTCATCAACTAAATTTCATCATTTTGATAAATAGTTAACTTGATGAAATGAGCTTGTTCTAATATTCTTCTGAATCAAGCAGTTTGAAGTATATCAAAATTAATGTCGATGTCATCGTCCGAAACACCATTTTTGCGTTTTTTGTCAAAAATTTAAGAAGATTTTTTGATGCTTGAAGTTTCTGGGTAATCAGAACTATTACTCGTTAAGATTAAAAAAGTCTGAGAATATCATTGAAATTATCTATTTTTAACTGAAAATGAAATAATTTTGCTCAGTTATAAATACTGTTGGTCATCGAATTCATGGAAGTTGAAGCCAAAGTGGGGTTTTATTTGATAGTTAAGAATTATTAATTAATTAATATTCTTCTATTGAATGAGTGATTTATAAGAAAAAAAGCATAGTCCCTAAAACTCTGCCAGGGGGGATCGTTTTTAAATCGTAAAGATAAAAACATCGATGCTCTTAAACATTTTTGCACCTAAATTTTCCTGACCGCACTTAGAACTATTGAAGACGCTATATGCATGTCTTCAATAAATTGACTTAAAGGAATATTCTGAAGACAAGTAAAAACTGCTAAATTTTCTTTATCTTCTTTATTTTTGAATCTGTTCGGTTTGATAAATTACGAACCGAATCCCATCACTGTTATGCATAGATGTTTGATGTCAACAAGAAAGAAAGCAGCTCAAATATAATATTCATCCACAAAACACTAATCTGTATGCATAGTATATATATATACGTATTTAATTAGTGGTGTAAATATTTTTTCTCACTCATGTTTCACTTGTTTTTATCTCGAGGATGAAGGTGAGCAGATTGAAAGAAAAGGTGCATGGTATCTCGAATTTCTTTGATTCATATTGACCCAGATCAACACGTACGAGTGTATTCAGGCAAGAAAACATCAGAAATCGCTGGAACATAGAAGCAGTATTCCCGCAAGAAAATTTCGGTTCTTTGTCGATGAATTTCAATCAACTTCGTGTACTTTTCAGCAGAAGCCTGCCAAAATACTGCTTCGATGTTCCCACGGTTTCGTGTAGAATATTAGAGCGTGTGTTGATATCTTCCCTCCACTCAGGTCTGTATCTGTATTCGCACCGGCATCCTAGTATTAACTAATCGAATGGTTCATTTCTTAATCACTAGTGAATAGAATACGTCGATTTTATTCATTTCGTTAATAATGGCAAATAACATATCATTTGGGATGTGCGTGTCGGCTAATGTCAGAGTAACTCTCATACCTTTTTGGTACATAGTTAAGGATTGTTTTTGGAATTTGCAGTACAACATGGTAAATATTTTATTTCGTTTGAAATCGGTGTGTGGATGTGGGTGTGGAAACGAAGAGCAATAACGTTCACACCCAACCACTATATATAGAAAACCTACGTTTACTGGGTTATTACTAAAATGGAACTCTTTTGTTCCTCACTTTTATAAAGTCTCAGCCATTAGCTCCATGATCTATAGAGCAATTCATATATGCTCATCGTATCAGTTGATGCATGCGGAATTTGAATTTATCTTAAATTTAGCATTAGATAATGGATATCCATTGAGGCTTATTTATAGTCAAATTAGAAAGATATTTAATAGATATTTTGAAAGTTCTAAGAACCAAAAAGTAATACCAACAAAATCAAAAAATCTCGACAAGAATTGCCATAAGAGTGAACAAGTTTTTATCGATTTACCTTACTTTGGCAATGCAACAAACATTCTGGAGAAAAAGATTATTAAACTAGCTAAGAATATTCGACCAGATCTTCATGTACAACCAATATCTCGCCCACTACCTGCCGTAACAACTTTCTTCCCACAATAAGACAAACTTCAAAAAGATTCTCAATCGAATATAGTATATATGATATCATGTTCAAAATGTGAAGAAAGCTATATAGGGAAAACCATCAGACAAGCTTCAAGAAGACACTATGAACACGGGGCACCGAAACAATCCAAATCGTGCAGTACTACCCGAATTAGTGGATCTAATCCTAGTGCTCAACAACTAAGAAGATCAGATCGAAATAAAAATAAACCTATAACAGATTATTTTCCTAAGGAACAAAATCAAGACGATGAAGCTCAAAATTTAAATCTTGAACGTATGAAAAAGTCGACTCTTTTTAAACACCAATTGGAAAAAAATCATCAAATAAATTGGAAAGAATGGAAAATCATCTCCAAAGATGATAGAAAATACAGATTATCGGTCCGAGAATCACTAGAAAGTCTATTGAAAAAACCTACTTTGAATCGTGCTGTATGCTCAGTTCCTTTAATTGTTTATCCGGAGGGAATACAAATGTCCAAACCAACGGTGAAGATATAGACGGTGATGAAATAATAAGTCAAAGGGAAAGATGCAGTTAAATATGCGCATATTTAACTGTGAAACATATATAATAGTGGTGGCTATCCTTTTCTCTACTGAAAAGAAGTAAAACCAATAGTTTTTTTCTCTATTTTATTATATATATTCTCTATATTTCTCTCTAAATTGTAATTTCAACTTTTGTCTTGATAATGGTATGTGAAATACCGAAACGCCGACTTTGATCATATATTAAATAAATTAGTAATTAAAGCTGCTGTAATGATCCTTTAATTCTACAATGCAAGCATAACTATTTTCATCTTTGTAAAATCGAGAATTTCGATTTGCGTACCCTTTGATCATTTTTTCAATTTGGTTTTAATGACTATGACAAAGAAGCTTCGACAATTTTTCTATTGGTGCTGCCGGGCTTGAAATCATACTAAGAAACCACTCAGGAAAATCCAGTACGTTTATCGAACTGCGAGAAAGGCTGATCATTTTGTAATGCGGACGGGAGGGAAAATTTTTTTTTCGACAAATAGTACAGGTAATCTTCATCAACTACCGATTTATTTGTCTCAAGTCTGAGACTTGATTCAATTTAATATTAGTAAGTATGTTCCTATGACAATCAAACACAGATTGGGGTTATTCATTCACTCGTTCTCATTGCATAGGTATCATTGTAATGAATTTGACGAACTGACCTCTGCTATGGTAATTTTCATCAAATGTAGTTCACAAAATTCACCAGTATCTTAAAGATGTTGTAGATGTGTGTGTCAATCCGAGAAATAAGAACAGTGACCCACACGAACACCCACATCATATATGCTTCCAACAAAATAATGCTGGATAGTAACAATCTATCTTTATATTGGTAAAAATATATTTTTCCAAGCAAGCAAAACTAATGTCAAGTGAAACAATGTACGTTGAGAGACCATCGAATTATTGAACTCGCCGCAAGGTTGATTGGTGCTGTTTTGAGTCTGTTTGTGAATACAAGGTTCAATTTTGAGATCTTCATATTTCGGGATGGCGGGTAAAATCTCATAATCTATGAGACTCCCACGATCGTAAACAACAAGCCGAGCAGCTTTATTGTAAAATTCTTGCCATCGAGAAATTAATTCAGGTGTCCATATTAAGTTACGAAGCCTTTGTTCGAACTCCATGTGATCTATTGGTCTACTCAAACGGCAACAAAACATTAAAATGAGGGGAGTTGATAACTGATGAAATCGGCTCTCTCAAGAAAGTTGATTTCCTATATGCAAAACTGTCACATATGATCTTGGGAAGCAATTAATAGTAGATTTAGCACTATTCTACTTCTCTGTAGTGTATTCAGGTTGTTGGAGCAGCCAAGGACTGTCATATGTCGATTATATCCGATTGCTAATGATAATTAGCTGTTTGTGAAGATGAATACAATAACCGATTAGTCTAGGTTTTATACGGTTCGATAGAGCTTCCCAAGGACTACCAAATTGTTTAAAAGCATGCTGGAAAAATACTAAGCGATATTACTGTATACAGAGCATTTTGTTTCTATAAGTCTTTATTACGAGTATTGCTAACTGAATAATATGTCCAGATTAACTAATTAGTCTGATCACCTATCGGGCTACTTTTTATATGGTGCAATAGAGGCTTTTAAGCGTTGCAAAATGATGTAAAAGTATTGAAGAAAAAATAACCTGGTCGCTGAAAAAGTTCCGGAGGATACTGTTTTCTAGTGATGATTTTGAGTCTTGCTTCACTGATATTTGATTGAATTTGATCGAATGGATACTATTTGGATAAAAACTAACACGATCTTCGGAATCGGTATCTAAAATTGAGTAAGCTTAGGTAAGATTTGAAGCTCTCTCGTAACAGTTTTTGTTGAAAAATTCAAATCTGAACTTTTTTGGATCAAGTCAAAAAAATGAATCTCGTCGAAAACTCGTTTCATTAGTCGGAATCGATTTCTACGTTTCCAAAATGGCTATAATACTCAAAATAGCGTATGCTCAAGCAATAAAAGTGTTGTTTTTACGGAATTCATTTTTTGACTTGACGCTGCTGGGAGCAAGCATGAATTTTTCAGCAAAAAAGTCCCTAAAAATATTTAAATTTTACATGAGCCTACTCAGTTTTAGATGCTGATTCCGAAGATCGTATTAGTTTTTATCCAAATAGTACTTTCTTAATCAAAACAATCAAGTACCAGCGAAAAAGGCTCAAAATCATGACTAGAAAACAGTATCCTCCAGAACTTTTTCGCCGGTCAGGTTTCTTTTTTCTTCAATACTTTTGCATCATTTTGCAACGCTTAAAAGTCTCTATTGCACCATATAAAAGTTAGTCTGACCGATGATCAGATTAGTTGGCCTAGACACAAGATTCAGTTAACAATACTCGTAATAAAGACTTATAGGAACAATATACTCTGTATGCAGTAATGTCGGTTAGTATTTTTCCAGCATGTTTTTGAACAATTTGGTAGTCCTTTGGAAGCTCTATCGAACCATATAAAACCTAGACTAATCGGTTATTGTATTCGCTGTCACAAACAGCTAATTATCATTAGCAATCGGATATAATCGACATATGACAGTCCTTGGCTGCTCCAACAGCCTGGATACACTACAGAAAAGTAGAATAGTGCTAAACCTACTATTAATTGCTTCCCAAGATCATATATGACATTTTTTCATATACGAAATCAAATTTCTCGAGGGGTTCGATTTCATCATAAATCCCCTCCTTTCAAATCCTTTGTAGGAAAACTAACGACGATGCATTCATCAGGGTTTCCCATGCTGTCATATCAATTGAGGTCGCGCAAGCAAACAAGGTGTCGACGAGAGGATAATAAGAGAATGTTTGAAAACACATTTCATCTCTTGTTCGTTGCCCACCCTAAACGTATAAAATACGATTTGAAGACTGTATCATTCAATTGGATTATTATACCAATGTGATGTCATTTTTGTCTCTTGTTTGATATATACAACGAGTAGCAAATGCGTCTCCCTAAATGCTAATCCAATCTTACGAATCCTCGTCATCTTATTTCTTACTGGATAGATTTTAATCGACTCTGGTAACCGATTTGCAAATTGATAATTGAAATTGAAAGATTCTGCATTAAATAAATATTGAACAGCTGTGCCGTTACGAATCAATTTCGTCCACACACTATAACCTATTATAGAAACCAAGGAATTCTGGTCTGTGTGTTATCATACAAATGAGATACCTTGCAAGTGTGTATGTGGCAAGGCAGAAACAATATTTATACCAGAACTTGGAAAATTCTATTTGACAAAGAAGAACACACAAAGCAATCTTAAATCTCTTATAAGTAAAACAATGTGCATACTCGAGTCGCTTCAGGAGGGCAATAGGAGTCCACAATAAATTGTTCGGCTTTTGGTGGAATCGCAAGACTTGCTGGGTTAGACACAGTCCCAAACAGTATGTAACCAAGATCATATTTTCGAAGCTCATTCGCAAGGTAAAATCGAATGCCAGAACTATCTCGGAGATCTAGAAACAAGTAAAACCATCAATGTTATTCTAAACTATGTAATAGGCACACAAGATCATCTTACTCGAGGCTTGTCGCGGATTGTCATAGTGCATTTTGATCATGAAGTATTTACTGCCCATATCACTGGTGACAGCATAACCAGCTTCTTCCGGATACACCGTGGTCTGTTTGAAATTAAAAGTCATTCGATTACTTATTTGTTATTATCGATTTTCTGTTACCACGTCAGCACCTATTGCCCATGCGGTAGCAAGTTTCGAATAGCACATACTCACTAAAGTGAGAATTTCATCACATATGCCATCAGGTAGCTTAATGTCATCCAGTACACCCTTCGCAGTACATTCGAACAAGTCCAGATGATGTACAAGGTGCTCATTTCTTGAATCAATTAATACTTGGTGCTGTAAGGAATGAGAAAATGGAAAGATAAGTGCTTAATAATCATAAACAAATCGAATATACCGCTATAGCATGTCTTTTGGTAGAAAATGTACTTGGGCTTTTGAATACTTTGCAGTAATACGTAGTGTCAGCCGATGGAACGACATGCTAAAGGTAAATGTGAGAAATTGCAAGAAAAAAGGAGATTGCAAAAAGAAAAACAGCTACTCACATTGTTGAAACGGAAGTCGATGGTTTCAAGTTCAAGCAATGTGCTTTCTGCAGGTTGATCAGCATACGATCGAAGTGGTAATATACGTGTACCTCTTCGATTATCATGATACGTGATATCGGCATTTGATTGACACAAATCAAGATCAACAAGACCATAGGCAAATATGAGAATATTGGTGCCTGACTATTTGAAAATATACAACATTCTGATTAGCTCATTAATGCAATCAATTAGCATACCTTTATTGGAACATCCATTGGATCACAAGTATCAAAATAACGTTTGAATTGAATGCCTGTCCATCCATTTTGTTCTTGACCTCGAAGAGCAAACCAATCTTGGGTCGTGTTATCTATGATTGGTTTTATTTTATCGAATGCAAATCGGTCCTAACAAAAGACTCGATCGATCAATCTATGTATACTTCTTTAAAAAAAAGATATCTGTCATACTTGAATATGAACTTTGCCAGAAGTATCTACCCATGCAACTGCGATGTCAGCGCCTTGCATGCCTCCAGCTAAACATTATTTTCAAATATTCGAATCAGCAAACACATTCACCTCTTTGAGTTCCTACCTGGACTAATACCCAAGGCGATCCATCCGATAGTGTTTACATGCAATTCAAACGTAATCTCCTGCTCAATATCATTCACTGTCCACCAAAGTTGAGCCACATTGGCCTGAAGATCTATCGTATGTTTGTAGGTAGTAAATGGTCGAAGAGGACTTGAAATTCCGATACATAACTCAATCAGAATCAGAGATATGTACAGCCATAAAGTGATTCGAATCTTCATGAACTGCATTTAAAAATAAAACACAAGTTAGTCTCAATCGAGACGCTCTTCAATAGAAGCTTTATCAAAACTTCTTGTAGCCTCTTCTACCCTTGGTAAGAAGTTGAATCTTTTTTTTCTCTTTTTCTTTGCGTTTTATTGTTTTTTTGATAAGCCATTCGTAAACATATTAAAAATTCAGTGATCGTAACATTTGCTTTGAGATACTTCGTAAGAAGTACATTGTATTTAATCTCTCTTTCCCTATATTGAAATAAAAATTAAAAATATAATAACAACAGTTGAATGTTATTTTATGCACCACGTGATATTTCGACATCTATTCTCAGACGCCATCATCAGACGTAACCGAAAGAAAGAACAATTCCATTTTATATTAGATTCACTAGAATGTGATATAGTTAAGGAGAGATAAGGTTTTAGGAGTTTGAGAAGGTGATATTATTTTATTATTGTTCTAGAAAAAATATCTGAGAGAAAAGTATGTTTTGCAAAGAATGTTCGTGTGATTGCATTGCGTTTATTGTGTTGAGATTGTATAATAGGGTGTAGAAAGATGATACAAGAATCTGACGAGTTGCTGGGTGGTTGTGTTTCGTTGAGGTCTGGTGGTTGTGAAGGTGAAGGTTGGTTGTGCATATAGGTTGAATTGTGAATTATAATGTTTGATTTATTTTGGTGTTGTGGTCGAAAATGATTTTCTAGAAGAAAGAGTGGAGTAAGAATGTTTAGCAAAAAGGTCTTAGGTTAGTTCGTCTTAGTGAGAGTTGTTGTATGATATCGCATTAGCGGAGAAGGGACGAGAATGGTTGAATAGCGAGAAAATTGTAGGAGCTTGTGGAAGTTTTAGGATTGAATGTTGATGGGAATGTCTGAGGTAGTGTGATAAGAGCTCTGGATATGATGTGGTGACAACCGCGTATTTGCTGTGATGGATATTGATTTTACATGTTACAAATGTGTTATGTGTTTGACTTTATTCTTCTGAGGGTTTTTTTTACGGTGTAATGTGCGTTAGAAAAGAACATTCCGTGCGGTCTTTTTCTTACTTATCAGTTTTCATGGTATTTATGATAAATGCTTTATGGTGGTTCTGATTCATCTCACTGATTGTCTTCGTAGCTAAGCACTGCCAAAATTGCAAAATTCGAGTAAGTGAGGCTGCTAATAACGTTTTTTGTTTCATTGTTGTTCGTGATTATGGCATTAACCGACAATATGAGTATTGGTGGTTACCTTAGTTACCATTATGATCGTAATATAGTGATGTTATACCATTCTACAAAAAATGCTCATGAACGCTATCAGTCGTTAGTACTCGATTTAATGTTTCTGAAGTACTGCCGTTCGAACGACATTATTCCTAGGTTTTTATGGTTTAAGACTGCAAATGAAAGGCTCGCGATGTCTCCTTCGTACAGAGAATGTCAAAGACGTCTTTTACGAGCTGAAATTGGTTTTAAATACCGTGATCTACGTATTTTGAGAAAAAATTACATTCGTCATCTGGATGAGTTAAAAATATATATACCTGACAACGTATTTCAGCACGTTTCCAATTATATTATTAATCGTTCGCGTGCAGTATTATATGTGAAAGAAGATAACTTACAAAGAAAGATTAATTCATTGCGAGCAGGTCGTAGAAGAGTACCTCGTGTTGATCGAAATGTTGTAAAAAATTTATCATCTCGTACATTGTCACATGATGAAACTGAATGTCTTGCCCATGGATTGGATTATGGTCTTGTTCCTAAAAATATTGATGATATGAATATTGTTAGTAATATTGAAAATTTCTTTCAGCGAATAACTGATATTTCTCAACATCATAGAAAGATGATGTCAGAAGTCAGTGATAAAGATACAGTTGACGGTTCTGATGTTCGCATTCTTGATTCAAAAGAAATGACTTTGGCAAGCAATTTTCGTTCTATAACTGATTCATTTCGTCGTCAATCTTATCATTTTGCACAGCTACAGAATAGAATTAATACTGAGCAGCGGAAATATCGTCGTTTATTACAGAACTTGAAGAACGATAAATCGATTGTTGTTACTCGCCCAGATAAAGGCAGAGGCGTCGTTTTGTTAGATAAAGCCGACTATTTATCGAAAATGCATAGCATACTCAACGATATAACTAAATTTTCGTTTTTATCATATGATCCTACAATTGCTCGAGAAACTAAACTAATTAAATTGTTGAACCGACTACTTGATGAAGGTAGTATTTCTAAAGAATTCAATAATTTGGCGAAGCCATTTGGTTCTATTCCAGGTCGTCTTTACGGATTGCCGAAAGTGCATAAGGAAGATGTTCCACTTCGACCGGTTGTTTCAGCTATTAAAACATTCANCCCACACCCACATCCCACATCCACACCCATACACCACACCCACACCCCACACCCCACACTCACACCCTCAAAACTGGAATTGTCAAATGTATCTGCATTTCTCTTGGTCATTTCTAGTATAATATATATCAATCTAGACAAGTAACTTTGCAAATCTTTGAGAAATTCAGTTAATATTGTTAGATATTCGTCAGTGAATCGTTTCTCACATGAATATCCTAGTGTGTAGATGTTTTGCAAGATTTTTGCTAATTCGTGGAACAATATCGCATGATATCAGGGTTGCCGAATTTGCTGATTTTAGTTTTTTTTTCTTACTTGACGATGAAAGTCAATTATATAAAAAGAAACGACGCAAAATTCTATATTGTAATCGATTTTTCTACGATTAAAAGTCGATAGAAATGATAAAGTTTTACTTGGATTTTCTGAATTGAAATTGCTGTATTTGATTCCAGCAAATTCGACTCGATTTTAATCGAATTGTGTCAACTTTTAATCAATAAAAATTATTTCCCAGTGTATATAAAAAGGCCAATACTATCATAAATCATTAAAACCAAAATCAAGGACTAAAAAATTTTGTTTTTTCTCCTCAGGAGGATTTTAAAACGATAAAAGATTCAAAAAGATTAGAAATCTATTTCAGTATCCAATAGGTATAATATCCAGCAAAGAAACCTAATTTGTTATTATTAATAAGTTCTTTTACATATCAAATATTTATGAGATGATAATCACAACACAATGAAAGAAGATTTAGTTAGAGCAATTAACAATTGAAATGAATAGTCATTACGCTTGTTCTAAGTCTTATGACAATCTTTTAAAGAAACGAGATCGTTTCAAACAGACTTTATTACCAGATAAACACTGTCATTATATGAATGATCATCTTTCTAGTTAATAGGCGAAAAGTGGAATTTTATCGACTTAAAATCATAAATCACGCTTGAACTTCAAAGAAAAATCTCCTGTTTTAGAGAAACAAATCTCTCGAAAACTCCTGTTCTTTTTACAACAATCTCTTAATTTTCAAAATCTAAATTTGGCAACGTTGTTAATGCTCCACCCGTCTCCAATTTTCTTAGTACAGCTTCTTATTTAGTTATTGAAGTTTCATTTTTCTTCAAAGTAAAGCTTGTCACTAAATTGCTCAAGTTGCATTTTTTCTTTCGTTTTTGCTTCTAATCCATGAATCTTCTGAAGAAAGTTCAGTGATTTTGTAATTTCTATCGAAATTTGAATAATAAAACTAATCTATTTAACAAAGAACAGATTCATTAATGCAAAGCAAATTTTGATTCTTATATATTTGATTTCAATGTAACTGATTGATCGAAGTGGGAAAATGAAGTCAATTATTGTAACAAAAAAAATTCACATGATTCGTCTCCTTTCTACTAATCTCCTTAATGATATCTTCAATTACAATTGGATTTGTGCAAAGAAATAAAAACGATTTCAATTGATGATCAATATGAGATATACACGTATATAAACTAAACTTCTATTCTGACATTATCGTTGATGAGAACGAGCACACGATTTTTTAAAAATGAATAGATGAGAAAAAAAGCAGCAGGTAAATTGATAATAAACTTCAACAAAAACCTGATCTCAGATTAAAAACCGACAATTAACAATGAAATATCGATCATTCGTCCAAGGTGTCTCGAGGAAAATGAGGTTATTTCTTCTATTAACTCTTTTCATATCTTCATCCTTTGGCCAATCAATGGATTTTTGGCTAACAGATCCCGATAGAAATATTCTTTTTCAACAACAACCTCCAATTTATCCAACAGATCATCAACAAATTGAGAGTGATTCTATAATTACAGTAAATATCACTGAACGATATCAAACAATGGATGGATTTGGTTTTGCATTAACTGGTGGTAGTGCTTTACATTTGTATAATCTTGATAATAGAACACGTGAATTAATTTTACAAGAATTATTCGGTCTAGAAAATAATAGTATTGGTATTAGTTATTTACGTTTAAGTATTGGATCTTCAGATTTAAATGAAGTAGTCTTTTCTTATGATGATCTTAATTCAGGTGAAACAGATGTTAATATGACTCATTTTACATTAGATACTGATCGAATGTACTTAATACCTGTACTAAAAGAAATTTTAACGATTAATCCTCAAATTCAACTTCTAGGTTCACCTTGGTCACCACCAATCTGGATGAAAACTAATCATAATAGTGTTGGAGGAAATCTATTAACACAAGATTATGATGCTTATGCACTTTATTTTGTTCGTTATATTCAAGAGATGCAAAAGGAAGGCATTCAAATTGATGCAATCACTATTCAAAATGAACCTCTATATGGAGGAAATAATCCATCAATGGTTATGCAGCCAGAAGAGGAAGCTAATTTTATAAAAAATTATTTAGGTCCAGCATTTCGTAAAAATTCTATAGAAACTAGAATCATCATTTATGATCATAATCCAGATCGAATTGATTATCCAATAACAGTTCTTGCAGATCAACAAGCAAGAGAATATATAGATGGATCTGCATTTCATATGTATGGCGGTAGTATTGATGCTTTATCTGATGTTCATAATGCTCATCCAGATAAAAATATTTATTTTACTGAACAATGGATTAGTGCACCTGGATATTTAAAAGGCGATTTAGGTTGGCATGTTAAAACCTTAATTGTTGGTGCAACAAGAAACTGGGCACGAAATGTTCTTGAATGGAATTTGGCATCAAATTCTCAATTAGAACCCCATACACCGGGTGGATGTGATCGATGTTTAGGTGGAATAACTATTGATGGAAATGTTGTACGATCACCAAGAAATCCAGGTTATTATGTAATTGCACATGCAGCTAAATTTGTTCGACCCAATTCCGTAAGAATTGATTCAAATGTTGTTTCAAACTTAGCAAATGTTGCTTTTGAACGGAGTGAAGATGGAAAAAGAGTTTTAATTGTTCTCAATGAAATTGATCAGGGACAAACAACTATTGAAATTCATTCTGATGATAAAGTTTATCAAGTTTCACTTAATGGTGGAAGTGTTGGAACATTTATTTGGTAAAATAAAATCATTTCAAAATGAAACCATTATTTACCAATTTGATTGTTACGAGAATATTGTCTAACCTCATAGTATCTACTAGAAAATTTTTTTGAGAAAAATGAAAAGAAACTGTGATTTTTAAAAGTTGATTGCGATGCAAAAATCAGGAAAAAGTCATGATTTTTTCATGTTGTTTTTCATGTTAAGTCAAGCTGAAGGTATACGTATAGGTGTGGGTATTTCTTTTTTCTCGTGCCCATACTTAAATCCCCACACCCAACCTTTTGTACGGTCCACTGAGAAGATTCGCTGCAATAATCAGAAATTTTGTCTCTCTTCGCCAAACTTACTAATATAAAATATTATGTACCCATGTAAGGCTTTACCCAAACATGTGATTTTTGTGGTGCGGGTGCGGGTCTGGGTGTGTGTTTTCAAGAATAATTTCCAAGCTACTTGCCAGACATTGGATCGGTTAGAGGTTTTTTGACAAGCGACTTGAATCGATTCGGAAAACTTTCAAACCGAGTCGAACTGAGTCGAATCGAACTTGAAAACTGCTCAACCGAATCAAATCGAACGGAACTCAATGGGATGGTGAGTATGGGTGTAGGATGAATCGTGATACTATTTAGAAGAAGATTGAAGGTGCCAGCAGTTCAAACTTCAAGTAAAATTTTTTTTCGCGTTTTTTTACATCACTTGAGAGAGCAAGAGTTGCGGATCACGAAAATCTACTTTTTAATCTTAGCAAATACTTCTTTCCGGTTGAAAAATACGAAACACTCGAAGGGTATCGTTTTTCTCAAAAAAATACATCTTTTCAAAAAGTATGCAAAATTTTCTATTTGGTTTTTTTCTGCTTCTAAAAATATTTTTTTCAGATTCAGCATCGAAAACTGAATATAAAAAAGTCGTTAAATCGACTATAGATCCAAAGTTGTATTAGTAGTGGCGCTTCAAATCGTATCGGCTCCACGACTTATAGGTCGATTTTCTAAACCTATCTAGTTTTTCTACGGAAGCGATGGAGCAAAATATTTTGTCTCATTCTATTTATCATACCATCCCTCAACACCCCTAGTATCGGCTTTTTTTTCTTCCCCTATCTGTGTTGAGAAAAGTCGTTGCTACTGGTGTCACAAGGTAAAGGGGAAGGTCATTTTTAAATCAAATAGCTATTTTTTATCCAAACCGAGTCAAAATCGATTAGAGTAGGTAAAAATTGATGGCGAATCGCATGAACATATTTTCTGGATCTTCAGAGAACCTTTAAAGGATCTCTGGAAATCCTTCCCTGGAAATAACATAGTTTTCTGATATTGATTAGTATTTTATGATTTTTAATGGATAAATTAATCACTCTTCATGCTTGTTTATATAATATGAAAGGGTGACATGCAGAATAAAAGTATTGAAATAGAAAAAATACGTTCACTAATATTCGTTTATGTTTTTATTTGATATTTTGCGATTTGATTGAACTGATGTTTTGCAAAGTTGACTGAAAAATAATTTTAGTACATCAGCATATGTTTGACCTTGAGAATATGCTTCGATTGAACGCCAAAAACGTCGGAATAATTTTAATGCAATTTCTCATTCGACAAAATGTATACGAGAATCCGATATTAATTTTAGCATTTTTTCAAAACTTTGATCTGTACGTGAGCGAACAAAGGCCTTTTGATTGCACCAAAGACCTTCAATTGCGTTTAGTTCACAATGAGATTTAGGGCAGTATATAATCTTAACATTATATTTGGTCGCTAGCATCTCAAGTTTTGTAACCAAGACAATGGAGTAAACCATATAGGAACGTCATCTCTCTCGTGCCCTTCAAAATATGGACGTTGTGAATTTGCTTCGAATGTAGCTCCCCATCTACGAAGGTCTGCACGACAACTACTTTCTGATCTTATCAAATTGGTGCCACTTTCTTTTTTAAATTCCCGTTAGTTCATAATATTTTTCATCAATGAATTGAGCCAGGTCTATTGCTTTGAAATCTGCTGATTTTTGTGACCACACTTGAACAACGAATGCTTTAGCATCTGCTTCAATTTCAGGAAACGTATCGTAAAATGAATCAGCATGTTTTCCACCACGTAAATCATGTGAAAATTCTTCATAATCTCCTTTAATAAACACTGTTGCCCATTTATGAGAAGTTTGTGCGCTGATGAATCCCATATTTTTTTTAAATTCATCGACATCTTCCCATTTGATGTTGAAGAAACGTAATGACATATAGAGCAAAGTGCTAAGATATTTTGTGTAACATTTTGACTTGCATATTCCAGAGAGATCACTAATGTCGATTAGCAAAAGTTTCTCACTAAAAGTTAATTCTTCATCATCAACATCCATGCTGTATTCTTCATTTGACGATTCGCTTGAAGACGAAACCTGGACACTTGGCCAGCGACGAGCTATTGCATTTTGGTCTTTACTTCTTCTATTGTTTGCTTTAGGCATACTAGACTACCTTACTGCAGCTACAGAACAAGTTATCTTAAAGAAAGACATATAATACCGACGCTTGTAATTATGATATGTTAGTTTCAGGAAGAGATTTCCAGAGACCGTTAAAGGGTTCTCTAAATGTCCAGAAAATATGTTCATTCGATTCACCGTTGATTTTTATCTGTATGAATAGATTTTAACTTGGCTTGGGTAAAAAATAGCTGTTTTATTTAAAAATGACCTTCCCCTTTATCTTGTGACACCAGTGGCAACGACTTTTCTCAACACAGGAAAGGGAAGAAAAAAAGCTGATACTAGGGGTGTTGAGGGATGGTATGATAAATAGGATGAGACAAAAATATTTTGCTTCATCGCTTCCGTAGAAAAACTAGCTAGGTTTAGAAAATCGACCTATAAGTCGTGGAGTCGATACGATTTGAAGCGCCACTACTAATACAACTTTGGATCTCTAGGCGATTTAACGACTTTTTTATATTCAGTTTTCGATGTCGAATCTGGAAAAATTATTTTTGAGAAGGCAGAAAAAAGAGCAAAATAGAAAATTTAGCACATTTCGAGAAAGGATGCCATTCTCTCTAAAAACGATATCTTTCGAGTATTTCGTATTTTTCGATTGGAAAGGAGCACTTGCTAAGGCTAAAAAGTAGGGTTTCGTGATCCGCAACTCTTGCTCTCTTAAGTGATGTAAAAAAAACGCGAAAAAAATTTTTTACCTGATTTTCCCACTGCGGACACCTTATTATTCAGAACAAAGTTCATCTCATACTTACGACATATTTCTTTTCCAACTTTAGTCCAAACTGTTAGAAACTTTCCATGCAGAAGATTGAGCTTATCAACGGACATTAATTGCATCACAGTTTCAATCGGCATGATCCTTTTTAAATTCAGACCATCGTTTGCGTAGAGGTCCAACAATAATAATTTGTTCTGATTTGATATGTTCGCACATTGCTAAAGAAGCTTCATCCGTTTTTTTTTCGTAGCGATATCCATCCATTGCACATAGAGCATGACCAAGAGCACAACAATGCTGGTTCTCTTCCGAGCCAAGTTTGGATTTGATCAGAGTATGATCGGCGGCATTGCATGATCGTCGATAGCATGAACATTTTTCAGGACACCCGTGCACCTTGTCCAGTAGCCAGGCATAAGTATCTTGTGCATCAATAGTATTAAAATCGACTTGAGATTGCTTGAACTCGCTAATAAGTCGATTCTTTTCGTTTAATAGCATTTCAAGAAAGGCTGCCAGGTTTCCAATACTAATACTATCATACACTGGAAGTATCCATTTGGTCTTAGTAATGAGTTCAGCACTAGAAGGAGAGTGTTTGACGTAAGCACTGAAAATATCAAATTCCTCCGCCTTCAATGTATACGTAGTGTCGCAAGCCATGAACATCTTCAGAATTTATAATCCTGATAAATAAAAATAAAACATCATTGCCATACAACGTTTCTTGCTCGTTAGATTTTCATTTACTGAAAGCGCATTTCCATCATCAGGCTGAAACACGAGATCGACAAATTTAGCAGCTGCTCCTTGTATCTTAACCGCATTCATCATGTTATCAATACACTGAAAAAAGTCGATGAATGTTTAAGCATAGCCCATCTTTGGTTTTGCCAATGTTTGGTTAATATCTCTAAGAATATTCTGTCACATCGAATCAAAAAATTGCCGAATTATCTTATATGTATATCGATCTAAAGAAATCTATTTCATAAAATATCCTTCTACTTTTCCATAAACGACCTTTTCAATGAATTGTTTTTGTATGAAATCCATGAAATTTTCGTACAAAAAAGCGAAAAATACTTTCTTAGTTCAACCAATATCTGCACTTATCCATACTTACTCTGAATGAATGATGTTCAATATGTAGAAAGTACTAGCAACAGTTTCATCTCTTCAATTGTTTAAAATGTGTATATTTTTATTGATAAAATAATGACAAAAGCAACTATTAGAGCCACGAGCGAAAGCAAGAAAGAAGAGTCATTCATTTTGTATAATTAATATGTAAGCAAAATAACCAAATGAATAAGTATAGAAAATATTCGCAAACGTAAATAGATGATATGCCACTGTCTGTTAATGTAGTTGGTGGAACAGTTGAAATGGAGGAAGTTGATGTAAATGGTGACGTTGATAAAGTCGATGAATTAAACGAAGAATCTTCCAAACAATCATGTTCAAGTTGATTGAGAAATAAAGTTAAATCATCAATCTCGATTTGATGATTAAATCCAAAACAGTTAGCTAAGCGTTGATCACCAGAATCTTGGCATAAACACATGTGAGTCTCATCATAGAAACAAGATAATTTTAATGAATGATTTCGACATGGTAAATGATAGTATTTAATTCGCTGAATCAGTTGCATTTGAATTATGTTTACACAAAATATTTCATATATAAATCGACAACGATCAGATGGATTAATTGTTCGAACAATAGTTGATGAATTCTCTACATTTTTATTAACAGCTAAGTAATACTGGGACATCGAAAGTTCAACGAATGCAACATGAAATGGATCTGACCAGTAACTAATTATTGAGGGTTTATTTTCACATAGTTTTGCAAGATTTGCGTTATGTGTATGTAGAGTACGATTGAAAAAAGAGATGAAATGAACAAGTATGGTTAACTGCGAAGGAAAATTAATATTATTGTGAAATGAAAGAATTATTTTATTATCAGATATTTCACATCTTTTTCCATGAAATCCTTTTCGACAGATGCATACATATGGTTGATGAGAAGCACGATGTTCGTTAGAAGGTATACATACGCCTTCGTTTAAACATGAATCATGTTGGCATACAGTTTTAGTTAACAAACATCGAGAACCAAACTTATTAAGAGGACATACACATACCGATCGATTATTTGCTGCAATATCACTACATAATGAATCAGGTGAACAGCTACACATATCAGGAATAGTGCAGTATCGTCCAATCCAACCTGTTTTACATCGACAAAAACTAGTGACTTTTGGTTCCTTTAAATATCGAATACATTCACCATGAACACATTGCTCATTATTACATGTTTGAATAATATCATCTTTATGAGGAATATCAATTTGAACAGTAATACGTTCGACAGGTAAGAATGGAAATTTCAATGGTATTAACAGACTTCCTCGATAATGTAATGTAGCCGTTTCATAAATATCAATATGCACTGCATATTGATTTGTAGAAATTTTTGGTCGAGTACAATACAGTAAATAGACATTGAATTTAACATATTCATCACGTATAGGTAAATAAGACAATTGTTCATATGAATGAACAATTCGTTCGACACTATCATCGATTAATGAAATAACAAGTACAAAAAATGTTTGTCGAGATTTTGAAGGTGCATTGATTTCTAGGGTGAGGCTAACACGTTGATTTTGATATTGACAACGATCGCCATAATAACTTGGCGGACAAAAACATACTTTTCTTGTTAAATTCTTCTGGCTACCTAACAAAACTTGTACAGGAAGGCCACGGTGACAATAAGATTCATACTCACTGATCTTTAATAAATCTGCTATTATTTCGTTCGATGCCGATTTCTTTAATTGAACATCTATTGACTTTGATTCAACAATGTCATAGAAATTTGTGTCGGAATTTTCTTTCGTATCTGACATAGTTGAATACTTTCGAAAGAAGTCGCTCATGACTGACTTACAAAACTTCTCATCATCATCATTATCACAGTGTTTTATTCCATCACAAACATACTGCAATGATAAGCATGTGCCAGAGTCACGAATTTTGCAATAAAACTTTCTTGTTTCCTTAAAACGATTCTTTATTGGACACAATGTTGGTTCTTCAATACCACCCAAACAATCAATTATACCGTTATTGGCTCTTTCAATAGGTAAACATATTAATTTACCTGTATTTTGTGAAACACATATATGATGATACGGTGGACATTTAATTAATGGTGTTGGATCACAATCGACTTCATCTGCTTCATTGAGATAATTCCACAAACCATCACATCGTGTATGTATTATTACATGACCATTTTTCACAATCAGTTTCATCCGTTTGATTTCGTCCATTAATTGTAATCGGTAAAATATCGACGAAACCATCACAAATAGTCGAAATTTTAATTTGTTGTCTATTTCCAAATAATTCTAGATCTGCATCATCGCATATATCATATTCATCCACTCCACAATCACAAATGTTATTTTCAACTTGATTTCGATGAATACATTTATTGTTTGTTTGACATTTGAAAAACGTATTACTTTGATCTATTAAACACTGTTCATTGATTGTGCTCTGTTCTTTATCATCTTCATAATCACAATCTCGAATGTCATCACCAACATAAGAGTTTGGAAGGCATTTCGATGAATTTTTACATTGATACATAATAAAATTGTTACAAACTACACTATTATGCACCATTCGATTACAATGACTAAGATGCGAGTATACTAGCTTGATGTAACTAGAATACCAACCTATTCCATTGAAATCAACCGGTATTGGAAAATCTTCTCGACGACGACATATAGTTCCTCTGAAAGATAATAAGGTTACGTTCGAATAAAATTCACGACACAGTTGTTCATTATAACATATATATTCGGATGGAATTTGTCCTTCATTTTTCCATTTTACAATGTATTCGTTCGTATAAGCAAAGTAGATATGACCAAAAGCAATTGGAACTGATGGATAATAGAACATACCTGGACAAGTACTTTTTATGATGTCGATACACGTTTCATTTTGACAGAAATTTAAACATACTGGATTATTATCTATTGGAATTTTAGAATGACATTTTATTGCCAAAAAACAATCATGGCTCATGGTTACATCTGAACTGGAAAACATTGCCTGTTTGATTATTTGAGTACGTTGAGATCTACATGAACTCGTAAAAGGATAAATAAATTTGTTCATATAATGTTCACGCCATGAACAGATGACATCTTCGTTTCTAAATGTTGGTACATGATAATCATGATAAGAAGGATTCAGTGACATAGAGGTATATTGATCAGATCGATCAAGACATTCAAAACTAGTACCCATATTAACGAATCTTCGATTTATACATTGACCATTATTACATCGATATTCATCATCTCCGCATTTATTACTTATAAGTGGTCAACAATCTTTTTCATCAATTCCATCAGTACAATCGACTTTTCCATCACATATTTCACTCTAATCGAGACATATTGACATTGGACCACGATTACATCGTAAATGAGTATAACAAGTTAATGTTTCTGATTCATAAGCATGCTCACGATAATGAATACGAATAAATTCATTTAATGATAAGTTAGGATCATAGAAATCCAGTTGATATTGACACTGTGGCCAAATGCTGGTAATGTGAAATTGTGAAACATTTCGCTTCTCACCTCTGATAATATATTTCTCATTGAAAATTGATTTAAATACAGTTGATAACGTTCACTTATGTCTATTGGTGCCGACCATTGATATAATTGTTCACTTGTAATATTTCGTCGGCTCAGTTCAGCAAAAGTGAAGACTGCTGCATGAAAATTAGTCTGTATAATAGATCGTTGGCCATATTGATATACTCATACAATAAGGTATGATTTCATAAGACCAAACATCTTCACTAAGATCAAAATACAAACAATCATGTGGTTGGACAAAGTCGTCAGTATCTTCATTGATACTGTCGGTAAGATAAAGATTAATTTGAGATGATGCCATCACCAAATTTATGAAGAGGAAATAAATGAGATGTTTGACTAGCAACATTTGATTTGTACTGCTAATCGTTCCACTTTAATATATCTAAAATAGAAGCTAGAATTCGATTATTTCTGTTACTTTTAGAAAAGTAAATTTGAACAAAAAAAAAGAAATTTCAATTGATAAAAAACGAAAGCGTCTGAACTTCTATTGTGGTGATCACGTAGCCAGAAAAAAATAATCAAAAAAAGAGATAGGTAATTGTAATATACCATGTAGCACATGCGCAAATATTTGTGTCCAAACACGAGAAAAATGATAACTCTTTTACTGAACAAAAAAAAGTAGGTGATGTCATCATTGTTTGAAAACAACATATACAGTCCTGGCCATAAGTGTCTCACCTCCTGAACTTTATCAATACTTCAAGCTTTTAATGTGAGATTTTGGTCGCATATGAGAACTGACAAATACTGATCACAGACATCAACCCGACATCAATTTAGCGTAAAAAAACAGAGTTATACATCAAACACTATCGTTATCTTGCATTGATTGTATCTTAGTCATACAATCACTTTTGAGATTGGGGAACCCAGCATTCAAATGCTATAGTCTTCAGCTTTCTTCAATGAAATCTGCATTAGAAAAATCCTTTGAGTTGCTGAGATATCAGCCTGTTAATACGTATCGGCCGAATCACAATTATGATATGATTTTCATTTCGTAATAATGAAAAATCATCTTTACATTAACCAATTCACTTGAAAATTTTTTCTCAATACATTCATGGATTCAGATATGTTTTCTGTAAATTTCAGTATTATAGCTTGTACGAAACTCGAAATAGGACGATATCATAATCTCATCACGGCGTATGTTGCCAAATATTTACATCTCAATAAATCCAGTTGTTCTTTCGACCTAGCATTGTACACATTAGAAGCTATATGTATCACTTGAAAAATCTCCTATAAGTCATTTAAATATAGAATAATATCATTTTTCTTCTATAGCAAATCTTGCACTTGCTGTTTATACATGTTGTCCTTCGTATATATCTAATTTCACTAATGTTCAAACTATACGGAATTATCCTGTTTAATAGAAGAAATTTTCTGATATACATACAGAGTATTGATAGATATTGTAGTATTCATTCTTATAGTGATTCAGAGGAGTCGTATTGATATTGCTAATGCTTCTGATTAATCACAAACGTTGATTCTAAAACTAAACCTCTCACATCTAATCAAGATGATGACAAATCGCAACTGAAAATTTTTTGCTTTTCTTTTATAGTGTTTTCTGTACCATTTATCGGATATAGAAAAAAATATAATATTATTCTATATCTAAACGATTAATAAGAGTTTTTTCTAGCGATACATATAGCTCTTAATGTGTACAATGCTAGGTCGAAAGAACAACTGGATTTATTGAGATGTAAATATTTGGCGACATACGCCGTAATGAGATTATGATATCGTCCTATTTCGAGTTTCGTACAAGCTATAATACTGAAATTTTCAGAAAACATATCTGAATCCATGAATGGATTGAGAAAAAATTTTCAAGTGAATTGGTTAATGTAAAGATGATTTTTCATTATTACGAAATGAAAATCATATCATAATTGTGATTCGGCCGATACCTATTAACAGGCTGATATCTCAGCAATTCAAAGGATGTTTCTAATGCAGATTTCATTGAAGAAAGCTGAAGACTATAGCATTTGAATGCTGGGTTCCCCAATCTCAAAAATGGTTGTATGACTAAGATACAATCAATGCAAGATAACGATAGTGTTTGGTGTATAACTCTGTTCTATTATGCTAAATTGATGTCGGGTTGATGTCTATGATCAGTATTTGTCAGTGCTCATATACGACCAAAACCTCACATTAAAAGCTTGAAGTATTGATAAAGTTCAGGGAGGTGAGACACTTATGGCCAGGACTGTAGATATGAACAAACAATACTAGCGTACACATTAATATTATAAAATAAATTTAGTTGTAATTAGTCACAGTATCTGTACGTGTGTTTTTAATTATAAATATTCCACAGAATAGTAAATATTATTCGCATCAATAAATATGTGTCGTCGACGTTTTGTTTTCTCTAAGATTGTTCAGCAGTTTAATAAGTTTTTTATAGAAAAATGCTTATTAGACAAAAACGCATCACATCGAGATGTTTTTATCAAAACTTGAAATCAAGAAATATATCGACTATGAATGACAGAGTATTATTTTATATAGAGATTGTGAGATTATATTACTTCACTTAGTAAGTATTCTGTTTTCTTTTTCAATATTTTCTTCCCTTCTCTTGTTACTAATCTTAAGTAATCAGTCTTACTGAAACAAGACAAATAATAAATCTAGGTTTGATATCAATAACGAAAAAGCCAGCCAAACATAATGTGTTTGTGATGATTTAATTACAATTTATAAGAAATTCGATCGCATAATCCAAACTTTAGCCTATTATGAGAATGTGAGCGTGGAGCATCTCAACCAGAGCTGGAACCGGTCCGGCAAACCGGTACCGGTCCGGCCGGACCGGACCGGACCGGTACCGGACCGGTTGAAAAAGCCAACCGGGCCGGATGAAACCGGAATTTCACCGGTATGAG